AGGGGCAGTGAGTGACTGAGGACCTCAATAATGTTACTTAGGAAGAGGGTAAATGGGGCTAATTCTCTTCCAGAAAGTTACCCAGAAAGGAGCCCGGGCCTGGAGGGGTGATTAGTGGTTTCTGTGCCTACGAGAGTGGCCTTGTCAATGTCGTGTTCTGAGTACTGCTTATGTTCTGCAGGGAACAGGGCCGACGGGTTGTCAGCGGGGCTGTTTTCACTTTCTCAGTCTCATTCCACTTTAAAATAAGACCAACACGGAGTGCACTTTGCAGCTTAGAAAATGCCCTTTTTCCGATGGTGCCTCCAACTTTATGGAGGAAGCGAGGGTGGGAGATGTCAGGTCTCCTGCCTCACACCACAGCTAAAAAGCCAGCCGGCCAGAGGACAGCAGCAGCCAGCTTCAAGGTTCTTTTTGATATCACATTACTGTTTCTCATTTGTCCTGGAGTTTTTACTAATCCGCCTTGAGTTTTTACTAAATGCCTTCTACCAATCTAGGTTCTAGATAGAATTGTAATAATAATAATAATGCTACAAGCCTAGAGTCCAGCAAGAGTGACAGAGACTGAAGAGGCAACTAATGAAGCCCAGGTTTTATGATTGGGGGCTCCTGTGTGCTGAGACCACTTAGACCTGAGAGGGACAGTATTAGTATCCTACTGCTGCTGTAACAAGTTACCACCCTTATGGCTTGAAAAACACAGAGTTCTGGAGGTCAGTTCTGAAGTCTCACTGGGCTAAGATCAAGGTTTGGGCGAGCTGCATTTCTTTTGGAGGCTCGGGGAGAACCCCTTTCCTTGGCTTTCCAGCTTTTAGAGTCTGTTTGCATTCTTTGGCTCCTGGCTCCTGCTTCCCTGTTACAGTTTGGGTATGAGGTGTCCCCCAAAGCTCCTGGATTAATGCAGGAATGTTCTGGGTGAGATGATGGGCTTGTGAGAGCTGTCAGCTTGACCATTCTATTTGGAATGGATTGTAGGTGGTGTGGGGAGTCTGGCTGGAGGAGGCCACTGGGGTCGTGCCCTCGCAGGGTACCTCCTCCATGAGGACCCTTCCCTACTCTCTCTGCTTCCCAGCCTCCATGAGCAGATTCCCTTGGCCACACCCTTCTGTCCCAACCTGCTGCCTCAACTGGGTCCAGAGCCATGGACTTGGCCAACTATGGACTGAGCCTCTGAAATGGGAGCCAAAATGAACTTTCCCTTGTCTAAGTTGTTGTGTCAGGGTTTGGTCATGGGGTAAAATCTGCCTGACACACTCTGCCTTTAGGCCAGCCACATGGCTCCGACCTCCACTTCCCCTGCCACGTCTTCTCTGGCTCTTCTGCTGCCCTCTTCGACGTGTTCCCAAGACGCAGGGGACAGCACTTCTGCTAGGAAAGGACACACGTGGCTGGCTTATGCCATGGCAACACGGTCCTCCAGTCTCAGGGGTCACCATGGATGAAGACTTATTTTTCGTCAAGCTGTCTGTCCACTGTAGACATGCCCCAGGACTTCCTCACTCAGGATCTGGGCAGGGGAAACGGCCCCTCTCTGGGACATGCTGGACTCATGGAGAAGGGACAAGTTGGGTGGTAAGACCTGAGAGGACCAAGCCTCGGCTTAGGAACAGCACCCGTCCCCTCTGCTGGCATTACACTGGTGACAGCAACTCACTTCTTGGATTGTAGACCAAAACCTGGTGAATGGCCTACACCAAGCTGCACTGGGTAAGGCCAGGAACCAGGTCTCTGCCTTATCATTCCAGCTTGTTTCTTTCTTTCTTTCTTTTATTTTTTAGTTATAGGTGGATGCAATGTCTTTGTTTATTCATTTTTATGTGGTGCTGAGGATCGAACCCAGTGCCTGATATGTGCAAGGCAAGCGCTGTACCACTGAGCCCCAGCCCCAGCCTGTGTTTCTCGACCATTTTTCTATCACTATTCTCCATAAAACCTTAAACCACAGGCGTACTTACTGTATCTCTGCACGCATCCTGCACTTTACATACCATAGCAATAAGATATTTTTGCCCTCCTAAAAACCAATGTTCCTCCACGTGGGGTGGGCCCTGTACTAGACCTGATCATATTTAAAGTTTTAATTATGTCTTGGAGTCCACTGACTTAAACCGTTTGTGAATTAAAGAAAATTCTAGCAGTTGCTAAGTTTGTATGCATAAATTTCACCACTGAGTCAAATTCAGTGTGACTAGTACTACAAGGCAAAAAGTAAAGACAGGAGCATTGCAGTGGGGTCCAGAGGGATCGTAATGTCACGTTAGGAAATAACTGCCTTGTATCCAGGTGTTGCTTAGCTTCTCCCTGTTTCAAGGCAGTGGTTCAGAGGCAGAGGGGGTTACTGTACAGAAAAGAGAAGGGAAGAGTCCAGAGTCCTTACGCTGGTGGACAGATCCTCATGAGAACAGCTACACACGCCCTCCCCGCTCAGTCATTCCCTTCTGACCACACTGGCCTTGCTGTCCCAGGCCCCGAGCATAGCAAGCATACTCCCATCGAGAGGACTGTGCCTCTTACTAGAAAGCCCATCCCTTTACTCAGGCCCTGCCCAAGTGCCACCTCCACAGACAAGACCTTCCTTGTCACCCTGCTATCTCACTCCACATCCTTGCACATTTTATTTTTCTTCATAGGATTTTACACTGAGTGATAGGCTGTGTGCATTAGCTTGCCCTTCCTACCTAATTGCAAGCACCATTTTGTCCCTGCCCCTAGCAGTGGCCAGTGCTCAGGGCCCTTAGAATTTAGCTCATTTTGTAGTTTTACTGTGGCTTAAAATCATTTTACCACACATCCTTTTTCCTTTCAGTATCTTTATAAATATGGCTCCTCTATGACACAGTTGATGTTCAAGTGCTCTTACATAAGTTCTGCTCATTTGGAGGGATAATTTGAGTCTGTCAGGGAAGCCCATCATGGATCAGAAGTGTGGAAGTTCAGGATCATTTAATCCACATTCTCTCTCAGGAACTAACAGGAATACTCTTCTCAACGTGTGCTGACGAGCGGCTGGAGCAGCATCTCAGCTCTTCCTTCTGGCCAATCATAGCTCCAAGTCCTTTAGTCCTTGACTAGCTCTCTCCTCCTTCCATCCAGACCGAGGGGCTGACCAGGGTCAGCCCTAGCACTCAGCAGGCCTCTTGCAATAGGGAGCTGGAGCCTGTTGAGGCCCAGTTAAGCAGTTTTCCTGCCCATCCACAGCAAGAGCTGAATGTCAGGCTTCTTAAAATACAGCTGGACTCCTGGCCCCGCATTCTCCTTTCTCATCTGCCCAACTAACAGGGTGAGCCTGGTCCCACCACACTTTAACAAAATCCATGCTTTTCCTGAGGTTTTTGTCCTGTGGTAATAGAAATTGTGGCTTTCACAAAGCATAATTTCAAGAGAAAGGAAATTTTATTTGGTTCGCTAGGCAAGCACTCTACTACTGAGCTACATTCCCAGCCCAAGAAAGGAAAAAATAATCTCACTTTCCAACTGACACCTGAATATACAGAGCTGTGCAGGAACTCTGCTACCACGTGTGTGTGCATATACACACATCTATTTATTTTACATACCTTTAAATGAAGACACCGGATTGAGAAGAATACCTATTTGATTCTTGTATAAGCCCTTTAATTAGGTCAAGGTTTCATGTGCTCTGAGGATAAGTGAATGGTAACACTTTAAAATTCTCCAGTTTGTTAGTGGTCAAGAATAATGAAACCAAAATTCAATTAAAGATATAAGTAACTACAGAAAAATAATCCTAGAAACAGTTAGTCCAACTATTTCCAGTGTCAAGAATGTATAAAGACTGAACAAGATTCACAGACACCCCATAAAAGCCAGGAGGACACATACAGACGGACCGCCTGGCAGTGCACAGTGCTGAGGCAGGGTCTGTGTTCCATTTTAAGTACATCACATTCCATTTTTAAGGAATGTTTCCAAATTAGAAGAGACAGCAAGAGAGAAACCCTTCAAAATATCAGCAGGACTAAACTCTGGTTTTATTGTTTGAGATCACACCTGACTTCACAGACTGCGTCATTCCCAACCAAGAACCCTGCACAAATTCTATGGAGATTTAGGAATGTTCTACACCAACCCCTAGTATTTATTTTACATGATGTGGAATCTTTTCATTCATGATAAGTTGAAGAAAAAGCCCCCACACACCTACCCTGACCTTTAAAACTTTATTTTATGATAAAAAAATAAGAAAAACACACATGCCATAACGTGCCAAGGCTTTCAAAGGACTTATAGGCTTCCAAGTAGATTAGCGTCATGGTTGTGATATGGTTAGGAATAAAACTGGTCAGGTTGTCAGTTAGGTACCCCGGGACTGTGTCAAAGACGTTTCCCTGATAGGGAGGAATACTCCTTGACAGCCAAGAGCCACATGTATTAGTCACATGTGAAGAAGCCACCAAACCTCAACTGACAAAATAACTTAAGAAAAGCAAAGTCAAACAGGTATTATAGCAGACTTAAGGAAAATGACTCTCCTCAGAGGACAACTCTGGTGTATCTGCACTGAAATGAAAGCGCACAGTTGCTAGAACAGATCTGTTCCTGTGTGCGACAAGCAGGGGCTGTGGATGCCATAAATTAACCCAAGGTATAGGCTGGAGAAATGGAAAAGAGGAGGAAGTCAATGGAGTGTAGACAAGAGTCTAAGGAGGACGGCATGGGATGGAGGGGCCTCCTGCTCTGGATGGAAGAAGGGAGAGCAAGGTCCTCAGGCAAGAGCTTCCTCTGGGGAGCAGCAGCAATCCTCTAAGGTCACTTAGGAGTGATTTCAGCTGTGATTTAAGACTCCACTCAACTGAAATCCATCTGCAAAGGTCTTATTAATGGGGATGAAAAAACATTATTTAAAAAAGAAAAAATGCACAGTAAATTTTATTTATATATTTACAAAAAGATTTACACCAGTCAGGTCGTTAACATGTAAAAAGTAAATCTCTATCTGCAAAGTTAAATATATGAAAATACAAAGGCAGACTGAATTACTAAAAAAGAAAACTTTTTATTTTTATCAGTAAATACAATTTCCCTGATTATAACCCATAATAAGTGTCACCTAAAATACAGGGAGGTCTGTACAAAGGTGAGCAACCCCAGTATCTACATATATTAAGACCATTGGACTCAAAAAGCAGAGCTGAGCTTGTTGAATTATGTCTGTTTTAGAAACTCTTACCATTTGAAGGAAACAAGAGGGAGATGTAGGCAGCAGAGTAGTTATATAATAACTTAAAAAGTTAAAAGCTGTAGTGATAAAACCATCTTGTGCACCCTCCTCAGCAGTTTAGGCAACTGGCCTTCCCGAAAACTCCAGGTTTAGTCAAAGACAATCAGCAAAACAACTGGGCTCTTTCATTTGCCATACGGTTGGTCATGGTGCATTTCTGGTGTGTAAGTCAATAGGACAATCATGACCCAGAGGTGAAGCAAAGCCTAAAAATGGGGGAAAAAACAACAAACAATGTATAAATAAGTCAAGTCTTTCCCTCAGGCCCGCTGAGTAGTGCACTGAGGGAAGGGCAGTGCCTCCTGTCTCAGCACCCTTGTGGAGGCACCAGATCTCAAACAGCAGAGCTCTAAACATGTTTACTGGATGAATAATGAAGGAACAAATGAACAGCTACAGGAGCTCAGTGCAGGAGGGTCATCAAGAGGTGCTACGCCTACAGACATCTTAGCAGAGAGCAGTCAAGCCCTGAGCTTCCACACCTTCCCAACACGCACACACCAGAGGGCAGAGAGCCAATCAGGGGATCATGCAGAGTAGAAGGCAGGATTAAAATCGTTAGATATACAGGGAGTTGACTGAAAGACTTAGTGAAGAGGAGATGGGAAATATTCTTTCATTTTTGGAACCAGGGCTTAAACCCAGGGTCGCTTAACTACTGAGCCACATCCCCAGCCCTTTTTGTATTTGATTCTGAGACAGGGTCTCATTGAGTTGCTTAGGGCCCAAGTTGCTGAGGCTGGCTTTGAACTAGCGATCCTCCTGCCTCAGCCTCCTAAACTGTTGGGATTACAGACATGCAACACTGTGCCTGGCTGGGAAAATGTTCTTTTCTTTTTTTTTTGTAGATGGACAGAAAACTTTATTTGTTTATGTGGTGTTGTTGAGGATGGAACCCAGTGCCTCACATGCTAGGCAAGTGCTCTGCCACTTTCCCCAGCCTTGGGAAAATATTCTTGACAGGAGTAATGTGTCAGTGTCACGGGCTGATTTAAGGCATATATACAATCCAGTGACAAATCTCTTCTAATTCCCCCAGGGTAATGCTGAAATGACGTGAGAGGCTTCCTTAATGCCTCATCACCTTGGAGTGTTCGACACGTGGCATCACATGTTGGCAGATGGTATCTGTGTCTATGAAAAACTCTACCTGGGAACTGGTCCCAGTGGGGTGTGTTCTGAATCCTTTCTGATGCCATTCTTTTTTTTTGGTTCTCCCCATCCTCCCTCCTTAAAAACTTTTTATTTAGAGGAAGAATTCTTCCCTCTAGTGGTTCACATGGAAATTTCTTTTTAAGTAGATTTTTATTTCTTTTCAAGAAACCAGCCCATCTTAATTCAACCCAATCATTATGAGACACACCCAGCCAGCATTGTGAGCTGGCTTTTGAGGCACACAAGACATATGCAATGGCATTCTGAACCACTTGACCATCTTATTAAAGCTTAGAAATCTGGAGGGAAGAACTGGGATTTGGCTCAGTGGTGGAGTGCTTGCCAAGTATGTGTGGGACCTCACGTTCCATCCCTAGCACCACAAATAAGTAAATGAATAAACAAACTTAAAAAAAAAAAAGAAAAAGAAAAATCTGGAAGAAAATATATGAGCTTTGACATCTGTTTAGAAAACAAAGCAAAACATATGAAAATAATTTAAGCAATTTTATAACATCAAGATAAAAAGGCAACTAATAATTTTTACTGTACTTTTATCAGTATAGGGGCTTAAAATGGAGGTAACTATTAAATTGCACTTAAATTTTATTTGTTGGAAAAGCCTTTGAACAATTTATGTTCTAGACATAATGAACTGTTTACTTAAGGAATAAAGTATTTTTTGAGAGCTTGTTTGGAGGTTCTAGCAGGGGAGCGCAGCTACTCGTATACCCTTGACTGAAGAACTGTCCTCCTCTATCGGGGAAGGTCGTCCTCTTAGACCGAGCGCGCAGCTTCGGGAGGGACGTACATGGAGCGGTGAGGGAGGAAGGGGACACCCGCCTAGCCAGCCAGATCAGCCGAATCAACCCTGGCGATCAATGGGGTGACAGATGTCGCAGCCAGATCGCCCTCACATCCTAGAAATAAAGTATTTTTTCTTTTCTTTCTTTTTTTTGGTATAGTGCTGCAGCAGAACCTAGGGCCTCAGGGATGCTAGGCAAGTGCTCTACCAGAGCTACACTACAGCCCTAAGGAAAGAAAACTTATTACCAAAAATAAGAGTTATTCTCTTTCAAAAGTGACTGCTAAAATATAAACAAGACCGGAAGCTGTTACTTACCATATAGATGATTACAAACACTCGAGCTATGGGGTATCTTCGGAGAAAAATTCCCAGACGAATACTGTGCAAACAGGGGAGAGAGAGAAGAGAATTACATGTAAAGACAAATCTTGCTGTATTATTATTATTATTTAATAATTTGGCAAATCAAAACTATTTATATAGTCATCACAGAACAATGATTTTTACAGTAGATTGTTAAATGGTTACTTCAGATAACCATATAGAAATGTCATAGTTATTATTTGGGTTTTGGCTGTTAAACTTTAGCATAAGGTATTTCTATTAATTCTATAACCACAAATACAGAAGGTAAACTTGGTCCCTCTCTAAATAATTTTTCTATTAGGAACAAAAGAAGTTACAAAAGATGAGGCAAGCCACACGGAAAAGGAGAGTCTGGTTGGTATTAACTGGTAAACAGCTAATCTGGAAGCTTTTGCGTGGATATGTGTTTTCAAAGGATGAGGCTGTAGACACCCAGTGAACACCTGAGTAGATGGGTGGAAGCCTGTGACGTCCTGACCATGTTACCCACACCCTGCCCTGTTCAACATTCTTTCCCTATTAAGATGGACGCATGTATAAACAACTTTCTGCTTTTTTTATTGGCATAAGCACAACACATTGCACTACATATGCTAAATAAATGAAGAGTTGAAATTCATGCACTTAGTTTGGAGATAATTACTATGGCATCCTACTTTAAGAATCTTAGTATATCATTCTTATTATTTTTAATAATATAGCTCTATTCTGACAAGAAAGGTCAGAAAAGACTACTATATTATATAAAATTTATTAACTTATTATTTTTAATAATATAGCTCTATTCTGGCATTCTGAACCACTTGACCATCTTATTAAAGCTTAGAAATCTGGAGGGAAGGACTGAGATTTGGCTCAGTGGTGAAGTGCTTGCCAAGTATGTGTGGGATCTCATGTTCCATCCCTAGCACCACAAATAAGTAAATAAATAAACAAACTTAAAATTATTATATTATATAATAATTTATAAACATTAAGAAGCAAAAGTACATAGGTTATTTACATACGAACTTTATCAAGGCTATATACAAACTGCTAAAACATTTCTCAATTAGGTGGATGTCTGCTAGTGCAAAAAATTTATACGTAAATATAATACTATATACATTTTATGTATTCTTTATGTGCTTTGAATAAAAATATCCTGTTCAGTTAGATACAGCAACATCTTTTCTTCTAGCCATACATAAAGTAGTGGGATAAAACATTCAAATGGATAATTTTACATGAAGGAGAGGGTTTCTCAATGAGATTTAATGAGAACTAGTTGTACCAAGAAGAGAAATGGCCAGGGTTAGAAATTTCCAATAAAGTGTAGGCACTGGCAGATCTCTTTAAGCAACTTCATGGCATTGAAATGTCACTTGAAATTTCAGCTCTGCTGGATGGGACTCAACTGTGACTGTACCTACTAGAAGGCATTTTTTTTTTTTTTTTTTTAAAGAGAGATGAGGGGAGTCTTTTTTTTTTTTTTTTGTAGATGGACACAATACAATGCTTTTATTTATTTATTTTTTTTATGTGGTGCTGAGAATCGAACCTGGGTTGTGCCCATGCTAGGCGAGCTCTCTACCGCTGAGCCACAATCCCAGTCCATAGAAGGCATTTTAAAAACAGTTGATCATTCATCCTGACAGGTACTGCTTACCTAAACTGGTCAATGGAACTAGCTGCTTTGCGAACTTTTCCATACATTCCTGCTAGGTTAGTTTCTGCATCATTAAAAAGAACAGGAACATTTCGCAAACGTGTGCCTATTTAAATAAAAAAATAGATTAATATACTGACACCAAAAGCAACATCCTAAGAAAATTACAGTTGGAAATATATTGTACGTGGATGGAATTCTCCAGGCCAGCCTTCTAAGCATCATACGCAAAGTAGATGAGACCATGAAGACAAGACAGATAAATTCAATTACAGAAAATGTTTAAACTTCCATATACACAAAAATAAAACAAATAAAAATGAAGAAAATAATTTTAGCAAAAATCCAAGTTTATGAATATCCAGTGTGGTGAGAGTCAGCCTGAATGGCCTTTGCTCCTGAGCCCAGCAGTCTCTGTAGGATACTGAGGACTCTGACTCCCAAGTTCTTACCTCTAGTCCTGACTCCCCCTCTCAACCTACCCTCTGCCTGCGTACCTCCTTCAGGATGTCTGAGGGACACCTCAAATGCTTCAGGCCCAACACTTCGGACGTGATGTCCCCTGCTGACCTTCCCCTCCTGGCATTTTCTGAGACCTAGTATGTGACGTCTGCTCAGGCCAAAACCCTTCACTCCTTTCTCTCCAACTTCACAACCAATCTGGCAAATTCTGTCAGCTCAACTGACCCCCACAATCCAATTTTGGTTGAAATCACCATTTCTCATACGAATGGATACAATGGCTTCCCTAATCCCCCTGCCCCAGGCCTTAGCCCTCTGCAGTCCATTCTTTGCATTTACTTCTTATAATGCAGAGCTGAGGGGGCTGGGGATGTGGCTCAAGCGGTAGCGCGCTCGCCTGGCATCCGTGCGGCCCGGGTTCGATCCTCAGCACCACATACCAACAAAGATGTTGTGTCTGCCGAGAACTAAAAAATAAGTATTAAAAAAAAAATTCTCTCTCTCTCTCTCTCTCCTCTCTCACACACACACAAAAAATAATAATAATAATAATGCAGAGCTGAGGATCACCTCCAAGGCCCTGTGCATACTGGGCAAGTGCTCTACCACTGAAGCACACCCCCAGCCTGAGTCACTTGTATGTAGCAGCCATAGGCATCCTGATAAAATGTAACTCAGATCAGAGGTGCTCAAGAGCCTCAATGGCTTCCTACTTTGTTCATAGATTCCTTACGCAGGCCTACAGAGCCTCCTGAAAGCTTTCTGAATTCATCAAACACTTCTTTTGCCCTCACCTAGCTGCACTGGGTTCCTTTTTGTTCCTGAAATGTCCCGGAACACACCTGCCTCAGGACCTTTGCATCTGTTCTTTTCTCTGCTTGCTTTTCTCTATAGGCTCCTTAGAGTTCACTTCTTTTCCTCCTCTGGGACTTACATGCCGCTTTTCAATGAGACCTTCTTTGACCACTCAAACTATGATTTCCTCCCCACACTGTTTCTCTTTAAAATTTTTTTTTTGTTAAAGAATTTTTAAGTCATAGAACTGAAAGATTTGCTGAATGACTGCATGTACAATTTCTAAGATTAAAAATCTGATTTGCTGCCAAGTGTGGTGGCACACTCCTGTAATCCCAGTGGCTCAGGAGGCTAAGATAGGAGAATCACTAGTTCAAAGCCAGCCTCAGTAATGGTGAGGCGCAAGCAATTTATGGAGACCCTGTGTCTAAATAAAATACAAAATAGGGCTGGGGAGGTGGTTCTGAGGTTGAATGTCCTTGGGTTTAATCCCCAGTACCAAAAAAAAAGAGAAAAATCTGATTTGCAGATGCTTATACTGGCACATTATCTTTGAATATGTATTCTGGAAAATTATAGATTCCTCTTTTAAAACCATAAAGCATGGATGAATTTCTGTGAATTGCATATCACCTTTAATACTCATAATTATTTATTAAAACAATATTAAAACATTGTGCTTTAAGTTCCTTAAGAGCCCCTCTCTACAAGTTATCTACTTCATCAGCAGCATCTTGTCAACTATCTTATGTGTCTCAGCATGATGACCAGTCTTCAGGCCTTCTTTCTCCTCGCCCAACACCTGTGAGGACATTCCTTAGTCCACTACCCATCTTACTATGCTCACACTGCAGCACATGGCCCAGATCTCATTTCAGAAAGTGCTGGGTTCTTCATGGAATAAAGTTTCTTTTCAAACAAAAACCGCCTTTCTGTAGTTTTTCAAAACCATGTTTGCCTGCTATGTTCTTTTCGTGGGTTACCTTCTCCATTCTCAATTCCAGACATGTTGACGGGACCCGTGGAGGCAGAGCTCATCTGTTGCTCGAGGCGTTCCAGCTGAAAGACCAGGGAGTTCTTTTCTGTGCTGAGACTCTCCAGCATGGTCTGCTTTTGGATGAGGGTCTCTGTTAGCTGATGTAGTCGACTTTCTAACTCGGACTGACTGCTGTTACTTAAAGTTTTATTGGTAAGCTGAAAGACAAAGCGTTCGTAAAATTATCACACTAAATTAAAGTAAAACAATATACAAATCATATTATTACATTTTCACGTATATATTGTGGCATTAACTATTTTTCCAAAACTCTAAAATGATTCACTAATGTCTACAGAAGTAATTTTCAAACTGTATCGACTGATGAATTTGGTAGTTCAAAAATGAGCACTCAAAAACTTAACAGAACAGAATGGGATGTTTGCTGACATTCACATATCATAGTATGTGAAGGTACTATGTTGTGAAATTTTTTTTTTGTGTGTGTGTGTGAATGCACGTGATACTGGCACACATGTAAACAGTTTTTCCTACTGTGGTATAGGGCAAAGGGCATACTCCTAGGTTCTCATCTCTATTCTGCAATTTTCTAGCTATTTGATTTTAGACAAAAAAAGAGAATTTTCAACACCATAGATAACCACTGTTCTGATTTCTATCATCAGAATTTGGTTTTGCCTATTCTTGAATTTCCTATAAAGGTGAATCATACAGTATGAATGCTTCTGTGAGAATATTTTTAAAAAAAGATTTGTCTAAATAGTTACAAAAGTAGTTTTCTTGTGTAACAACTACTGCGAAGTGTGTCAAAACTTGCTTATCCATTTTTCTGCTGATAGACATCTTGGATATGTCCAGTTTCTGGCTACTTAAAAACACATTATGACAATTCACGTCTTTTTGTGGACATCCACCTTCAGTTACATTGAGTCAGTGTCTACGGTCATAGGGGGTCATAGGGAGAAGCACGTTAACCCTGTCAGAAATAGCCACCACTCCACAGTGGTCATGCTATTGAGTGTCCCCAGTGCATGTAAGAATTCTAGTTGTATTATACCCTCACAACAAGTGGCACTGCCAACCTTTAATTTTTGCCATTCTAGAGGGTGTGGAGTGGTGCAGCTGATGATCTGGTGCACCCACTCTTGGGCTCCTCTGACCCTCCCTGCATCTTCCTTTGTGAAGCTCTCAATAGCCTTCCACCTGCTAAAAAAATGGTTGTGGGTTGTGTGTCTTTTTATTATTAGTAAGAACTTCTACCCCCATTACAAATCTTTTGTCAGACAGATATACTGCAAATCTCTTCCAGCCTGTGGCTTGCTTTCTTTCATTTTTGTACTCATATCTTTGATGAGCAATTTTAACTTTTTAAGAAATTCTTTTATTTTTTTTTAAACGGACCTTTATTTTGTTTATTTATCTATATGCAGAGCTTAGAATTGAAACCAGTGCCTCACACATGCCAGGCAAGCACTCTACCACTGAACCACAACCCAGCTCAGCAATTTTAATTTTGATCAATTCCAGTTTATCTTTTGTTTGTTTTGTTTTTTAGAGAGAGAGAGAGAGAATTTTTTAATATTTATTTATTTATTTTTTAGTTTTTGGTGGACACAACATCTTTATTTTACTTTTGTGGTGTTGAGAATCAAACCCAGCACCATGTGCATGCCAGGTGAGCACGCTACCGCTTGAGCCACATCCCCAGCCCAAATATTTACTTTTAGTTTTAGGTGGACACAATGTCTTTATTTTATTTTTACATGGTGCTGAGAATTGAACCCAGTGCCTCATGTATGCTAGGCGAGCGTGCTACCACTTGAGCCACAACCCCAGCCCAATCTCTTTTTCATCTACATTTAAATGCTTTTTGTGTCTTCTGAAGAAATTCACCTTCCTCTAAATTGTAAAGTTTCTCTCACAGTTTCTTCTATGTGTTATAGCTCAGGTCTGGCTTTTTCAAATTAATTTTTGTTAATTTCACAAGTCTAGTTAGGGGATGGGAGCAGTAATTTTTAAAGAATAAAAAAATTCAAACTGGAACCTACTTTGTTAACAAACATACTGCTCTCCTAGGAGGCCCGAAGGCAACACGATAAGCAGAAATAGCATTTTTCATTCACTTAAAATAAACCTCAACGTATGAGGTTTCTCTATAATATATTAACATGCTAATTTCTTTTTAAATTATACAAATCAATTTCCTTCTATGAGACAACAGTTTTTCTCTGTTCTTAATTAGGTGAAAAAAAATCTTTTTTTTAAGTATTTAACTTTATTTTATTTAGTTTTTTTTTTTATATTTGGTGCTGAGAATCAAACCCAGTGCTTCAAACGTGCTAGGCAAGTACTCTATTACTGAGCCACAACCTACCCCAAAGTAAAAAAATCTTTAAAGAGAAATTCTTCTATGGTTAATTTTGGGGGGTGGGGGGTAAACAGGGATTGAATTCCAGGGTACTTGACCTCTGAGCCATGTCCCCAGCGCTCTTTTGTATTTTATGTAGAGACAGGGTCTCACTGAATTGCTTATCATCTTGCTTTTGCGGAGGCTGGCTTTGAACTTCTGCCTCAGCCTCCTGAGCTGCTGGGATTATAAGTGTGTGCCACTGTGCCCAACTATGGTTAATTTTTTTTAAATACTTTTTTTTTAGTTATAGATGGGCACAATACATTTATTTTATTTATTTATCTTTATGTGGTGCTGAGGATCAAACCCAGTGCCTCACACATGCTAGGCAGGCACTCTACCACTGAGCTACAACCATAGACTTACGGTTAATTTTTGATTCGCTAAAGTAGCCCAAATCAGAGGGTGTAGCTCAGGGGTTGAGCACATGCTTAGCTTGTTACTTGGTTAGGGTTCAATCTCTAACCAAAAGCAGAACAAAACCAACCAACAACTAAAGTAAAAAATATCATGATCATATTTTAGATGTAGTAAGCACTCAATATATATTTAGTATATACAGAAACACTTATTTAAGGGTTAAGCCATGTAGTCTTTTTGCTCTTTCTTTTTCATATTTTTGACCTTTTGCTAGCAAGATCCTTTATATTTAGATAGACTTAATATATAATGGACACATTGGTTATGAGTCTTCATTATTTAGTTAGCTAATGACCTAATTTGAACCCTGAAAAGTAAATAATTTTAGTTTTAAGTTCTCAGATTTGAAAAGCAGTCCATAACTTAAAATGTTATAAAATATTTTTTTCTCAATTTTTATAAGATTTTGGAAAAGCTGATGTAAGTGTTCCCTCTTCCCTTGCCTACATTTGTGAAGTGTGTAAAGGAGAAAAGAACAACTACAGTCACAACGGTAAAGGCTTTGGTAGATCTGGGTGGAAGGCACATGGGTATCAATTTCTCTAAGTTTATAGTTTTGGAGTTTCAAAAAAGTTTGGTGACTTTTATATGGACATCCTAGCAATTATTAATAGGAGACCTATCACTTTTTTTAAGGAAATATAATACATAATTAGAAAACTGATAATCAGTACAATCACACTGAAATCAGAAGATATGAAAATATGCAGGTAATTCTAACATTGTGTGACTCTCAAAAAAGCAAATCTTGGCATATAACAAATGTAGACTTCAACGGCAAGAGATAAATATTTGTCAGAACTCAGATGAAAACATGGGAAGAGAAGATCTTGCTGCATCCTTTTAAAAAAATGTAGCTTTATGACATTTCCCACAAGTTGTGAATGCTGATTCCTACCTGATTCCTGAGTTTTTGAATTTCTTCCTCACGATCTTTAATTCTGCTTTGCAAAGTGTTCTTCGTTCGATACAGATCTTCCTCTATGTAGTGGAATTCCTACAAAGTGAAGCATGAATGGAATAAACCTAAATCAGTGTCCTTATATCATCCCCAGAAAGCGGGCACCTTTAGTGGGCACTTCAATACCATGCTGATTATATACTGAATGAAAACCAGAGACTTGGATGGCTCAGATGAATAGCTAATATTTCAACTTGACATAAATACAGGCCCCAATATATCTATTAATAGGATAAATCATCAAAAAACAGAAAATACTTTTATCTTGCAACAATGTATGGAGGCATGTAGTAATTCAAATAATGATAACAAACTGGAGAAAATATTCACTATATATATGACAAAAAAAAAATAAAAGACCCATGTAAACTAAAAGGAAGTTGATAAATGAAAACACTTTTTACAATTCATATCTTAGAAAAAAAGGCTAATCTCCCCAATATACACAAAAATTTCATGATTGCTTAGAAAGATCAATATACAACAACAAAATAATTGTTTAAAAAATAAATAGTATTCTCTTCTCCAGCAATATCATTTCTAGTACCAAACACAGGGAAAATGATTCATTCTCCCTAATAATCAAAGAAATGTAAATTAAGCAATAAGTTAATTAAACAAATGTTTAATAATTAAACAAATGTTTAATAATTAAACAAATGTTTAATAATTAAACAAATGTTTAATTATATCTAACATTATCTAATGTTATATCTAATATACACAAGAATGCAAGGAGAAATTTTTATCATTATTAACAAATTGACACAAACCCCTTCTGAAAAGCAGAAATATATTATATGCCTTAGAAGATTTATAGCTTTTGATCTAGTAATTCCCTTCTCAGATATCTAATTTAAAGAAGCAAAGATTTAAAGTTAAAGATTTTCATACCAAGACAATCATACAAAAAAAATTTAGAAAAATAACAAAAAGAGTTCATTGTTTAAGTAAACAAATGATAGTCCATCCCTATTGTGGAATATTATATAGACATTAATATTATGCTTTTGAAAAATGTGTAATAGTCAGTAATTATAGAAAATTAAAAATGAAGATGGATTTTGAGTTTTTAAATTTTGTATATAAGCACAAAAAAATGGAAAAACTTAACCAAATTTTGCTATCACACTAAAGTGGCAGGGAAAAAAATCACCTTATTAAAGAAAATTTAAAAAACCATACACAATCAACAGGCCATGACCTCTTATTTTTTATTCTTATTCTATCAGACTATGTAAATATCAGTCTTTGAGGTTTAATTCACCAATTTTTTAAGTATAAAATTAGATGCACTTTGACAATTGTGTATCTATTATCACATCCACAATGTACAATATTCCCATCACTTCAAAAAGTAACTCTTTTTCAATCCCCTTCCTGTCCCTTGGCGGCTGACAACTACTGGCCTATTTTCTATCACCACAGTTTTGTCTTTTCTAGAATGGAAACATACAGTATATTATGTTTTGCGTCTTGCTTCTTTCACTTAGCATAATGTTTCTGAGTATAGCTTATATCAATAGTTCATTCCTTTTAACTGCCGAGTACTATTTCATTGCATGGGTATACCACAATTTGTCATTCGTTCTGATGGATAATTAGGTTCTTTCTAGTTTTCAGCTTTTCTGAATAAAGCTTCTATGAACACTCAAGCACAAGTCTTTATGTGATCATGTTTTAATTTTTCTGTGGTAAATAGATAACATAAAGAATAAAATTTCTGGATCTTAAGTATGTGTAACTTAAAGGAAAAAACCCTACCACACTGTCTTCTGCAATAAGAGATCCAGATTCCCACACCTTTGTCAAAACTTTGTATTTTCATTCTTAATGAGCAGCTGTTCTAGTGAGTGTGTACTGGTATCACTGTGATTTCAATTCACGTTTCCCTAATGATTAATCATGTAGAGCAGCTTTTCATGTGCTTGGATGTATTAGGTAATATTTTCCACCTGTTTTGCTCAGCACTGAGAGTGAGATGGGAAAAAATAAGAACCTCTGGATTCACTTACACCTGCACTAAAGCATTATTTGTACAAATGGACACAGTGAGGTTGGAATCTAAGAGCAAAGTATATGCCAATCCAAAAATATGCCCAAATCACTAATGTACAACGTAGGAGGGGGAAGAAAGAATAATTAGAGTTGTTAAGAACTTTCAAAATCACTATACTTGTATACAGCAGTGATAAAGCAGCAGGAAGAGAGCTGTAGGAAGAAGCCATGGCAATAAGACTCAAATTGCAGGAGACTACTTCATACTCTCAGCTGGACCTGCTCCTTTCAGATTGAAAAACTCAAGATAAAAAAAGAGACAGGTCGATGGGGGAATTAGAGCAGGAGAATCACAACTGACAAAGTGTGCTTTTTTACCCCTCAAAGCACAAAAATTCAAGGCTGAAATTGATTACTAAATAAACAGTCAACAGCTAAATTTAGTTCATTTTCCTACTTGACTCCCTCATTTTAAACAGGGACCTGGGGAGAGGAGCAGTAAAACCACTTGCACTAACAGGAAGAAAATGATCCCAGGAACCACTGAGCATATCACGTTATTGTCTTAATATATAACAGCTCCTTGAATAAAGTGCAATTTCTGAAAGGACAGCTAATCTTATGATTAAATGATCTAAAATAGCCTATGACACACCCTGAAGGTTGCTGCTGGGTGACTTTTTCTCTTACTACTCAGGAAACAGATTTTAAGTGCTACTTTCATAATAAATTATCATGAAAAAAAATATAAGAATCCACAGAATCAGAATCTAAGAGCAAAGCATGAAAAAGTAAAAACAAATTTAAATACAAAGCAGAAATGTCATATAGGATACACTGAGAATTATAAGAATATTTTTCTATAAAATGAAGAGAACCATAATGATTTTATTTCTATCAAGTGTCTATAACAATGTAACTACTTAGTGCATTAGAAATATTAACATTAAATATAGAATCTCATTCTGAAAATATAGCTATAAATGTGGTTTTTAAAAATATTTTTTTAGTTGTACATGGACATAGCTTTATTTTTATGTGGCTCTGAGGATCGAACCCTTTGCCTCACATGTACTAGGTAAGTGTCCTTCCACTGAGCCACATCCTCCACCCTATAAATGTGTTTACTATTAACTATCTTAATATAAAAACTTTTATATAAATACATGTACAATAATTTGGCTTGGAGAACAAATTACTAAGTGAAAAATGAAACACAATCTTAAACATGATTTGTAAGAATGGTCTGTATAAGGATGTTTTCTCAAACAGATGAATAGTTCCCACAGCACTAATATTGTATTTCTATTAAATAATATTTACCATAGTTCCTAGGAAGTACCAACATAGTCAACTATGAAAATCAACAAACTAATATCAGTCTTCTATCGATACATACCCTAACAAGGAGATACAACAAAATAGAGACAAAGGGTAGTAGAAAGGGATTTCTGGGCTCTGAGGTAGGAATCCCAGGTTCTATTCTACTCTCTAATTAATTTTACAATCTTAGGAGAGGCATATTTACCAGTTTGTGCTTCTACTTTTCATCCGATAAAACAAAAAACAAGGAAGGTGGTATGCAAGATAGGGAAAGCTATAAGATCCCATCTACCATTCACGTTTCCAAAGCCCACACTCTAGCTTTCCTGAAGGGAGTCTTCTCATCTGACCACTAGAGGACAGAGGCTTCCTCAATAACTGTCCATCTCAGAATCTTACCTGCTTCAGTCGCTCCAATTCTGTTTCTAGCTCCTGTTTAGATGTTTTCTGCCCAGCTATCTGGTCTTGCAAATCTTGTAACTGTTCTCTTGCTGATTCTGCTTCACTAACCTGCTGAGCTTCCATGTCCTAAAAAGAAGAACCTTACATGTAGAAAGCAATAATTAACCATTCAGTTCAACTGTACGGAGCAACCATCACGAGTCATGAACTGGGCTCAACGGGCACTGGAGGGATAGAGATGAGTGAGATGTGGCTTCAGCCCACAAGAAGCACCCCCGACACCTTCCCTGTGCAACACAGGTAACAGTGAGCAAAATGAACAGGATGCTGCCGCTGCAACAGCATGTGAACCATGGGGTCTCCTAAGGGTGGATAGGCAGTGGCTTGCTGAGAGATGTAAGTCTCTACTATAAAGCTGAAACAATCTCAAAAAGAACAGAAGTGTAAGACCAAGAAGGACTTCACTGCATTCGTTCTCATTACTGCAGGATACAATTTGTGGGTGTCTGTGTGTATGCACCGGGAATTAAAATAAGCAACAAAACTTTTACATCACATGAAGTTGGCATATTATTTTCTTCTTTTAGCTTTATTACTATTATCTGATTTCACATTTTTCCTTCTTACTTTGATTTCTTCAAACTTAAAACCATTCTCTGGATTTCCTGCTAAATCTACTAATACAAAGCACATAGCTCTAGGTTTCTATATTTTTCCCACATAGGTTAAGCCAAACTCCATTCATAGGGTTCTACATCTTAATTTTCTTTTACCTTTTGGTACATTCTCTTTTAAACTCATCTGTTATCTCCACACACTCTTGAACTTCAGATATTATTTCAAAATCCCAAGACCAACCTTCCAGGTAATCAAAGTGCAATCCTTTAAGCTCATACAACTTTGTGAATGTAGAAGAAAAACATTAATTCTGATTATTTTTTTTCCCTGAACTTTTGGGGCTATCAGAAAGTAGTTCAATCTTTGTCAGGCAATTCTTGAGGCAGGCAGAATGTCCAGTGGTTAAGAATACACATTCTGGAGTTAGACTAGGTTCTAATCATGGTTCTGCCACTTTACTGTCTGGTGGCAAGTTACTTTCCTTCTGGTACCTAAATTTCCTTGAGTATAAAATGAGAATAACATAATTAGCCTCACAGGATTATAGTAAGGAATAAATATATGGACATATGTCAAGTGTTTGGTGAAACATCCATAAGTGACAGCTGTGATAATTACTTACACCTCATCCATTTTACTAGGCATAATATTTTTTATTGTAGATTTCATAAACAACTTTAGAAGGGGTAGAAACTGGGTCAATGACATTTATGATTGGTAAGAGTTATTTTTTTACCATTTCAAAAGATATGAAATAGTTGTTATAAATAAAATTTATTATCTACCCAATTTCTAAGTTCATAGGATTGAATTCTTTAGAATTTAAAATTATTTACACATTAAGAAAAAAAAAATCCTATTTTAAGGAATGTAAAAAAATCCAGAAACACCAGCAGTTGTTGTTTATTTACAAGTCAAAAACAATGCTAGGCCCTTTATGCATTCTCCTTACTTTCAAGAGAACTTTTGTTTAGCTTCATTTACACATGAGGAAACTGAGGGGCAGTGAGGTGAAGCACCTTATGCAAGTTAACATTTATTACACACCAGAAAGCCTCTGCTCTAGACAGAGGTCCTGCCTACACAACCTCCACACTTCCTTTGGAGTTCACAAGTTTTGCAAGTCAACAACTTGCATAATGAATGCAAAGATAAATATTCTTGCAAGATTTTTTTTTTTTAAGGAAAAGAAAGATCACTACCCTGTACTTCATCTTCTATTCTCAGATGCTTGCTCCTATGATATTTATGTTAAAGATCCCATGTTTAAGTGAAAGAGATGGCCAAATTTTATATTTAAATTAAATATAGTAACTATGAACTGTAAGATTACACATAACACCATAATTAAAAGAGCATCCCCAAGCCCATGCTAATATTAGAAAACATCCCAGTTTTACTAACAAGCCCAAAATCTGTTTTTAACAATTATAATGTAAGATTTGTAAACTTAAGGCTTCTGTCTTGTTCCCTGTTATAACTCCAAGTCTAGCTACATTGGCAGTACTTGCTAAGCATTTATTGAATGAATGAATCTAGTTACTTGTTTGTTATTCCCTTAAAGTTATAGTCATTTAGTGGACAAGAGCACTAATGCTTTAGATTCACTTCTATGTGGTAAGTAATATTCCCAAAGAAGTTTCACATATTTTTTCAATAATGCCCTTTCCTCCAAAATACAGAATCTACCATCTCTCAAGCTGATAATATCTGAGGCAAATGATTGTCTGGGAGGCTGACAGTCCATCTTACCTGTAGCTCAGACCTGAGCTGATGTATCTGGCACATCAACTTCTGTATTTCCTCCCTCTGCATCTCCTTTTCATGCCGAAGTTCTTCTAGCTCCATGCTATTAGCAGTACTGCTATCTAGACCTTCAAAACCAGAGCCTTCCTTTAAGCTGTTAATCAATTTTTCTTTAGACTATTAAAAAGAAAGAAAGAAAGAAACATGTTTAAGCAAGACAGACATTAGAGTGCATACAGGTTTTTATTTATCTATTTATATTTTGATGGTATAGGAGATAAAACCCAGGGCCTCATGATTGCTAAGCACACACTCTACCACTGAATTATATTACCTGTGTTTATTATGTTCTACACTTACATACTGAGTATCATCCAACCACACAGAAACTAACCAGCTATGGAAACATTCCAACATTATATCCATCAAAGAAAGTCCACAAATCATTAAATCTGTGAGAATAAAAATGCAATAGAGCCTTGCAATGTCCTTGGATTTTAGTTCCCACAATCATGTTATAGTTGAAAACTTCTCATCCACAAGATTTTTCTTGCCGGGCATGAGGGCGCATGCCTATAATCCCAGCTACTCAGAAGGTTAAGGGAGGAGGATACTAAGTTTGAGGCCAGTATTGGCAACTTAGACCCTGTTTCAAAATAAAAAATAAAAAGGGCCATGGATATGACTAAGTAGTAGAGCATCCCTGGGTTCAATCCCCAGGACCACAAACAAAACTCCAGTTTTTCTTACTTTTTTCCCCCATCACATTCCATTCAACAAATATTTATGGAACACTTAACACAACTTTAGTACTGTGCCAAGTGTCCTGTGTATTGAATATAACGTTTCTTGCCCCAGATAGTACCCTCTTGCCTCATCAAGCAGAAGGCAAAAAACTCAATGCAAGAGAGATACGCCCAGATCACTTGAAAGAGCTTTTATCCCATATGGCTGGGATTTTTGAAAGTGCAGCAAAAACCCAGGATGTAGCATAAGAATGCAAAAGCACAGAGGATCTATGAGAAAGTATTGTGCTGCTCATACAGTACATTAGGACCAACTTCTAAGAGCTCCAGATGCCAGGCTAAACTCTTTTAATTTATTTGGTAAGCTAAAAAAAATTAGCAAAGGTTGACTAGGGAGTGATATGACCAGAGATGTATCTCATGAGGGTTAGTCTGATAGTTCTGTGAAGCAGGTGTTCACAAAATTCGGTCCATGGGTCAAATCTGGCCTGTGGCCTGTTTGTTTTATAGTTCATATGCTAAAAATGTTTGACTTTTTAAAAACATTTAAAGGATTATAAAAAATAAAAAAAAGAATTTGTGATGGAAACCATATAGTCCACCAAAGTCTACAGTATTTACTATTTGGTCCTTTGCAGAGAAAGTCTGTGGACCCCTGGCATGAAGGATGAGTTGGAAGAAGAGTTCTGTCATATGATTATCAGTTAATAAAGTGCCAATTCTAGATCAGTAATAATGATGACTAACAGCTTTGATCTTAAATATATTATAAAGTCACTCTCCTCTATCAAAGAGAATTTTCCCTTCTGTAAGTGGCAGAATTACAGGTGATTTCTATTGCCTTCCTTGAACTTTGTGTTTTTCAAATTTTCAGTAATGAACGTGACCATTTATATGATTTTAAGTTATTTAGACAACCAAACCTTTTGTCCTCACATCCCCATCTAGCTATGGTCCTTTCCTTATGTCCATAGTCAAACTACCCCTATCTTCATTTCTTCACCTTCCACTGAACCCTGGAAATCTCCTTTGTGAGATCCCCAGGGATCTCCCAGTGCCAAATCCAAGTACTCTGTTCTGTCATCACACGAGAGACAGCTGAGTGCCTCTGGTCACCCCCACTGGGAACTCTCTCTTTGCTTGTCTTCCTTGGATGGCAGGTGTCACTCTTTTTCCGTTCTTTCTAATCTCTGACCATTTCCCTTCCCAGTGTCTGTCTTTTGTGGGCTTTTTCCCTCTATTTTGTAAATGCTGATGTTTAAGTCTGTTCTTTGCCATTGGTCTATGAATCTCCCCTTTCAGGACACATACTGTTCTTTAAATTAAAAAAAAATAATAATTGCTGATGGACACAATAACTTTATTTTTCTGTGGTGCTGAGGATTGAACCCAGTGCCTCATGCTTACTAGGCAAGCACTCAGCCTCAGCCCTACATAGTGTTCTTGATTAATTTTACCGATGCTCACAACTTACAGGTTATATTCCCATGGCTAAAATGCTCACATCTCTCTCCTAGGCTTCATGTTTGTCTTTCTAATTCCTTCTTGATACTTGTAGCCCAATGTCACATCAATTTTGCAAATTCACCATCATTTGTCTAATCTCCTTCAACTCTAACTTGCTGCCATTCCTGTTTTTCTCTGTTACAGTATAAGGGACAACATTCACACATGCAAACCAGAAATGTGCAGCTATTCTTCCTCTAATTAAATTCCCAAGTCTCATGCTTTCTACCGTCTATGGATCAGTTGTCCTGTTTGCTATCCCTGCTGCCACAAACTTTAGATCAGGTCCTCATTCTTTCTTATAATCACCTCTTCACCATCTACCTGCTTCTGATCTAACCAACCCACCCTTTGTTCCCTCAGTGTATTCAGTAATTTCTTGTGAACCAGGCACTGTGCTGGGATATATAATGGTGAACAGAGGGAGGTCCACCTCTCACCTAACCTCTTCACTGCTGCCACTCAAACCCGACCACACTACTCAAATTCTTTAACATCCCTCCCCCTGTTCCCTACAGGAAAAAAAGATCTAGTCTTTGTTCTTCCACTAAATAACCATGTGCTCTATCTTTGGGTCTTATCTCCCATCTTTTAATCTCGAATACTTTATGCTCCAATAACAGGGAACTAGCTCCCCTAGTATGCCATGTTCTCTCAGGTCCCCTGGCTCTGGCACAGGCAGTTCTGTCTGAAATCTCTTCCTCAGCTTGAGTCTTCCTACTCATCCTTCATGTTTTTCTTTACACACAGTATCTCCTTGATTCAGTGAGCCCTGACATCCCCAGGTACACTGTAAGGGTCTCTTCTCTCCAGTGCCCATTGAATTGCATCAGTAACTTTATTCTATCCCTTAGTCTAGACTTTGGTTTCTTCCCACTGAGCTTTGTTTCCTCAGCACCCATCAGGTATCTAGTGAATGGTCACTAGTAAGTCCCTTTTCAATGAATGTGGAGGAGAATATGATCTTTCATGGAGGTAGAATCAAAAAGTCATTCTGAAGATGGCGATAAAGGAAAAGGGTAGAGATATAATTCTGATACACCTGACCCTGAAAGGAAGAAGGATGACAGGTAAATAGTTCAAAGTAGTAAAAAAGTTAAAAAGATTATTGTTTTCTTAAACAAATACCCAAGATCTAGCTTTTGTTCTTCCACTAAGTAACCAGCTAAGCAGAAGCAGCAGCAGAGGGAGACAAGTAGGAAGAAGAGAGACTCATGGAGGAAGGGCTTGGATGAAGTAGGAGGAGATGGAATCAACGTATAGGAAGGAAAGTCTTAGGAAAACACATATGAGAGGCAAAGGAAAACGAAATTGAATATATATTAGGTAACTATGGTCTTTTTTGGCAAAACAGAAGATAAAGTCACTTCAGAGCTAAGGGAGGGGCAAAAAGGCTGGGTGAGGTGATTCTGAGAGCTGGATGAGACCGAGATCAGTTGCTTTGAAAAAATTCAATAAGGAATCAGTGAGGAAGAATAAAGTGGCCACTCAATAAGACATTAATACCATCACAGCGATCGAGGTAATAAGTTGAAGATCTGAACTAGGTAGTGGCAGAATAACTTTTTTTAAAAAAGCAGTAGAACCAAGAGACATTTTATCTTTTTTATAAAAAGAAATTTCTAAGTCAAACAAGACAATTCAGCCAAACATGAACAAACACTCATAGTTGCTATGAAATGTCAGTGTCTCTCAGGTAACTGGCACATCTTAACATTCAAAAGTGCACATTTCAAGCTTACTTGGAGTATTCTAGTAGCTTTCTGCTTGTAATCGATTAATTCCTGCTTGGAAGACTCCAAATTTGACTTGCACAGCTTGACTTGCTGCTGTAGTTCATCAACTCTCTTCTTCTCATCAGAGTACTTTCTTTCTGCCAGAGTAACTGCTTCTGCCAAATTCTGACGTTCCACCTCCATTTTATTAAGTCGTGCCGCAAACTCACTCTGTGATAAATTTTTTTACATCATGTTTATCACATCATTTCATTTTGAAGTATATTTTACAACTATTTGTTCTGAAATCTTATGAGATTTATTAGCTCACCTCACCAACATAATAAAGGGGGAATTTGCTGAAGAACAGAAAACCTAGTTATGTGGCTCCCAAACACGGCAATGCATCCAAATCAACTGGGAGTTTAAGTACTGACAAAGGCCAATGCAGGCCACTGCAGGCCTTTGTCAGGCTTCACAAACAGCAGTTTCCAAGACTGCGCTTGGGAATCTATTTTTAAAGAAATTTTCCAGGTGAATCTGATTGCTTAAATATGAAGCCTAGTCTGATGGCTGATCATGGCTAACAGGTCTGTAGAAAACTAGAGAGCCTATTAGAAAATAAATGGAAGAATGACATAAACAGCTAGATCTTTTCTAATATCATGGCTATGCCCCCTGGTAATATTTTTTAGTTTAAGAAATTTTAAAAAATATTTTTGTTGTTACAATGGACCTTTATTTTATTTATTTGTATGTGGTGCTGAGAATCAAACCTAGTGCCTCACACATGCTAGGCAAGCACACTACCACTGAGCCCCAGTTTAAGAAATTTTTAAAACATGCCCTAAAAACACACTGCTTGTCATTTATTAGGCTACATAGAAACAAACCCCCCGGAGTTATGGAGATACAATACACACATAATAAAGTCCCTCCCCGCTTTTTTAAATATTTATTTTTTAGTTGTACTTGACACAATACCTTTATTTATTTATTTATCTATTTATTTATATAAATTTGGTGATGAGGATCGAACCCAGGGTTTCGCACTTGCTAGGCAAGTGCTCTACCACGGAGCTACAGCCTGGCCCCTAAAGTTCCCCTTTTTAAGATTTATAATTCACTGGTTCAGTGTTTTCATTGAGGTGTGCAACCATTACTACTATTTAAGTCCAGAACATTTTCATCAACCCCCAAAGACATCCCATACCCATCCTCCTTCCCCACAGCCCCTGGCAACTATTAATCTACTTGATTTCTCTATGGATTTACCTAAGCATTTTACATAAATGGAATCACACACCCTAAGGCCTTTTGTGTCTGTCTTAATTTTTAATATTTTCAAGGTTCACCCAAGTACTGACACATTATAGCATATATCAATGCTTCATTATTTTTTATGGCCATGTTATGAGTTTCTGGTAAGACTATCTTACAGTTTGTATCCCATGAGGCAACTGATAAATATTTGTATTACTTCCAGCTCTGGGCTATTATAAACAATACTGCTATAAACATTCACATGCAAGTTTTTATGTGGACATATATTTTCAATTCCCTTGAGTATATACCTAGGAGTAGAACTGCTAGGTCATGTGATAACCTGTGTCTTTCATTTTTGAGAAGCTATTTGTTATTAGAAAATTTCCTAATGTATTTAGGTACTTAGGTATATGAATCTACTTGTTCATCTGTAAATTTTATAAAATCTAAGTACAGGTTCCTGAAAAAAATTTAGTGAATAAATTGAAATATAACATGTTTTAAGGAATCAGTATACAAAATAGAATATAAAATATCTCATTAATAATTTTTAATATTGACTACATGTTGAGATGACAATACATGTTGAATAGCCCTTATCCAAAGTGCCTGAGACCAGAGTGCTTCAAATTTTGGTTATTTTTCAAATTTTGGAATATCTGCACTTATATAATGAACTACCCTGGGGATGGGACCCAAATCTAAACATGAAATTCATTTATGTTTCACCTTAAACACACAGCCTGAAGATAATTTTATATAAATTACCTGAAGGTAACTTTATATAATATTTTAAATAATTTTGTGCATAAAACAGTTTTACCGTGTGCATTTTCTACTGTGATATCATGGTGCTCAAAAAGTTTCAGATTTTGGAGAATTTCAGATTTGGGGCTTTCAGATTAGGGTTGCTCAAATTGTGGATATACTATGTTAAGTAAAATATTATTAAAATTAAAAACAAAAACAACAAAACATACTACCTGATATTTAATTTCAGGGCTGTTCTATTTTCACCTGTTAAAAAGAAGGTTCAGACCAGTGGTTCAAAACCCAGCTCCTAATAGATATACCTGTGAATCCTGTAAAAACAAACTTCCTAGGCTCTGCCTCACACAGCTAAATCAGGCTCTACAGAAGTGGAGACTGAGCAGCAGGAAGTATTACACAGGTGACAAGTGCAGACAGGGCCAAGACTGAACTAGAAATAAAAGTTCATTTAAGATTAAAACTCTAAGTAATATGACATACATACACATGTGAATTGAGTGAAAGATGCCTATCTCTAATGAATATTAACCATTTTAATCATATCTTACACATAAAATAAAATTTAACAAGGATCAAGCTAATTGTTTAATTATCTAGTTTTTGTTATAAGAAGTGACTTTTCTGAAATGTACCACAGAATTTTATTGAGGAATAAATGTGTTATGAAACAGTGAGAAGTCACTCCTCCTGTCCAAATATCAGCAGAACTCCGTCAATCTCCTTTCTCACCTGCATCTGTTTGTAGCTCTCTTGCTCTCTCTTCAGATTGGCATCTGCTTCATGCAGTCTCTCCTGAAGAGTTTGCAGAGCTTGATTCTGTAGGCTACTGCCTTCATTGTGATCCTGCATTATTCTACAAAAAAATATATCACGTGAAATAGCACATTTCCACAGGGTACAAATCAGAAGGTAGAATAATTTTTATAGCACCTATGGGTTAGTCAAGCACAAAAAAGATGGCTTGTCTAAAACATTCTTTGAGATATCTTTTTCCTTTTTAGTGGCATGTAACTTATATTTTTAGGGTTCCAAATATAATTAGCACATACCATAAATCAAAAGATTAGTGATACCATGTCTTCAAATATTTTAAAATTCAAATCGGCTAACAGTGCATGCCAAGATTCAAACAATGAATGTTTCCAACATTACTAAAAGAATTTTTTCCTTTTGTAAATTTCCAAAAAGCTAAATTTTCACAAGCCATTATTCATAAGCTAGGTAATACTTATCATTATGTGTCCTATAAAAAGTCATTCTAGGGTATGTTTTTCATCACTGATAAAATTACCTACCGTGACTTTTCACTCTGTAAGGCTTCCAATGCCTCTGTTCGAGAACTGAGCAGCTGATCAGCCTCCTGGAGTCTCACTTTAAGTACGGCCAGCTGGGAATCCTTTGCAGCCACTGCTTCGGTCAGGTCATCTACTTGGGCTCGGAGTTCTCGAGTTATTCTATCACTTTTTGAATGGTCAACATTCCATTTTTCGACTCTTGCTCTTGCTTTGTTTAATTCTATACAAAATGAAATTTCTTCATATAAGCAAAACCACACACACCTTTTTCATGGCAAAGATCCCTTTGTTCCTTTAGCACATATTGTCAAAATTAGAAGCTTAAGTAACTTCAATTTTTTTTTTTTTTGGCCTCATATGGGACAACCACTTTTTAAGGCCAATATTTACACATATATTACATTTAGTTTTTTTTTTTTTTTTTAAATATTTTTTAGTTGAAAGTGGTCGGTTATTTATTTATTTATTTATATGTGGTGCTGAGAATCGAACCCAGTGCCTCACACATGCTAGGCAAGTGCTCTACCACTGAGCCACAACCCCAGCCCACATATATTACATTTAGAAGGGTACAAAGGGGCAAGAAGTTAGCTGTTCCTTTACAATGTTGTTTTTTTCTGGAGATATAAAGTATTTGGCAGCCCAAACTATCAGTGTTAACAATAGCAAATGGTCAATAAATTTGTGGAATTCTGCTAGAGGCAGTCAGAAGAATGGAAATTCAAATTGAAGGTACAGTCTAAAAAGAACAAGATAGGGAGGGACTGGGGACATAGAGCAGCTCAGTGATAGCATAACTGTCTAGCACGCTCAAGGCCCTGGGTGCAATCCTAAGGAACCACCCTCACAGAAGTAAATAAAAACTCTAAGATAAACAAAAGAAAGAATCTGTTTCTTTCAATAATTATTACAAAAAGATGCTCTTTTAACCTAGTACAATGGTGCAGAAAAGAGCAACGTAGAGCTGGGCGTGGTGGCACATGCCTGTAATTCCAGCAATTTATGATGCTGAGGCAGGATAATTACGAGTTTGAGGATAGCTTCAGCAATTTAGTGAGATCCTGTTTCAAATTTTTGAAAAGGGGGGAGAGGTTGAAGATGCCCTGGTTTCAATCCCTAGTACTGGTGAGGGAAAAAAGGCCATCATAATATTTCATTTCAGAATACAAGAGCATTTCTATACCTGGATATACCATCTGCAATTTGTCACCAAGAAAAGTGATTTTTTTTTGGTTGTTGTTGTTTTTAATTGAAACAAACTTTACAGTGTTACAGAAGAAACTCCATTTCTGAATCTACATTAATCTGGGCAAAGTGAAGCTTTTTCTAAAATCAGTCTGACTAGTTTTAAACAATCTTTGTATTCCACTATCCTGGGTCTCCTTCATGCCTGGACAAAACTTCTCCCAGTCTTTTCACTCCTCTCACCAGGGACCATGGTGGCCATTTCCTCTCTTTTATTTTAACCTCAGTCACACTTAAAAAAAAACACATCTTCCCCTGTCACTACCTGGGTCTTGAGATTATTTCCTTTTAAATTAGTCATTTCTGAGAAATTTGAGGGCTTCCTATTTCAGGGCAACCTCACCATAAAATTTCTCAGGACACTATTTGAATTGAATTCCATGCACATTTATGACCCTTGGAGAGGCAATACTGTGACCCTGTACTAGTGTCCACTTCTTTACTTAATCTCCAAATTTGGTCATGAACAGTCCCCCTGAAAAATGAATGATTACTTATGTTTGATTAGACTTAGTGGTTCCTAAAAAATGCCCAAATAGCAATATTCTGTTTTGGGTTAGTCCCATTTCCAAACTCAGGTCCTCTATTTCTAGGCAGATACCATTTTACAAATCTCATCTAATCTACTTGTAGTTAGATGTAAAATTTTTAGTTTAATCTGGGAAGTTATACTCCTAATCCTGGACAATTTAAATAAAGTTACCTTCTTGAGTTTCTTTGGATCTCTGAAGTAATGAGGCCATTTCCTGATTTAAAGACTGAACTTCATTCCTTAGCAGTTGATTCTCCAGTCGAAGATTAGACAGTTCATGGGATTTGCCACCATCACTGGGTGCTGGATTAGGATCAGCACATATAGCACCTGATGATGCATGTTCCTTTGAAGAATCCTCTTGGCCTTCAGGACCAGAATCTGAATTATTAGCAGCTTCTGTATAAAAAGAACACATTTGTTACACTGGCATGGACACCATGCATATATTAGTAACTTACTTGGCTCAAGTTGACTGCTACAGCTAAATACCATCAAAATACCACAAATTCTCAATAGACTTCCCTTCCTTCTGCTGAAAATTCATTCCCACAAATGGACCCTACAGACCTCCTCTGAGGACACTGAAAGTCTGGGCACACTGAATAAATCATGATATAGAAAGTAAGAATATAGTCCTGGGAAGAAAAATGCCGACACAACTTGAGTGGTTGTGTTTTAGTTTCTGAAATGTTTCTGGAGGTAAAAAGGGAGAAGTCTCAACATTAAAATATTGGGAAGGTACACCAGAACAGCTGTGGGTTTCAAGAAGAGTAATAACTGCTCATACTAATATGTTATATATCAAATTGAAATCTAAAATGCCTTACTGGACATATAGCCTCATGAATTCAGATTCCTCTTGTTATCAATTTGTTACTAAGTTAACTAATTTAGCAAGTACACTCTGATTTATTTAAAAAATTATATGATAAAATGAACCATGTCTAAGTGATATGGGCAAAAGAATCTTTACAGGGTTAGATAAGCAAATGATTATGAAAAAGAGTTTAACATCTTTAATGACTAAAGAATATAAATTAAAATCACAATGAGAACCAATACGCATCAGCTAGAATGATTAATGCTGGTAAGGACATGGAGGAATGGGCATGCATATACACTGCTGGTGGGAGTACAAAGTGGCACACCCACCATAAAAAAAGTTTCTCAATTTCTCCCGAAATTAAAGCTGCACTATGATTTGGCCCAGCAATTCCACTCCCAGGTGTTTATCCAAGAGTAATAAAAACATTTGCCCCCAAAAGGCAAGCTCAAATATTTCATACTAAGAACTGAAAAAAATCCCAATGTCAATAAGGAGACTAGATAAACTGGGTGTATCCACATACCATAGAATGAAAAGGACCAACAACATGGATGAAAGTCACAAATACAGTTAATTAAAAGAGGTCAGACTGGAAAGTGTATAAATGGTCTAATTCCATGTGTAGAACAAGCAAAAAATAAGGTAAAAAATCCTAATAGTGGGCATTTTCAGGGATGGTGTAGGGAGATTAACTGAAAAGGTACATAAGAAACTTCATGGTGCAAATAAAATCTTTATCATGATAAAGGTGTGGGTTATATTAGTGTATCACTTGTATAGCTAAGATTTTTACATATTTCAACAGATATAAAATTTCCTAAAAGAAAAAAACCACAAAAGTTAATAATTAAGTGTAATAGGGAATGGATAGAAATGATGATTTAAATATGGGAATGCTTCTCAGTACTGAGGCTGGACGGTAGGTGAAGAGGGTTCATAATACTATTCTGTTTACTTAATATAGGCTTTAAATATTCCACGTAAAATTATTTTAAAAAATTGACCGCACAGGCGCAGTGGTGCATGCCTATAATTTCAGCAGCTCCAGAGGCTGAGGTAAGAGGATCATGAGTTCAAAGCCAGCCTCAGCAACTAAGCGAGGGCATAAATAACTCAGTGAGATCCAGTCCCTAAATAAAATATAAAAAAGGGATGGGGATGTGGCTTAGTGGTTAAGCGCTCCTGGGTTCAATACCCAGTTTTAAAAAAAAAATTGGGCTGGGGTTGTGGCTCAGTGGTAGAGAGCTTGCCTGACATGTGTGAGGCACTGGGTTCAATTCTTATCACCACATATAAATAAATAAGACAAAAGTCCATCTGCAGCTAAAAAGAAAAAAAAAAACTTTAAAAATTGACTGCAAAATGGCATTGATCAAGCTAGTGAAGAGTGTGAGTTAAAGGAGATCTAAAAGCATAACTTTAAAATTCAATACAGGGACATCTATATTTCTGTATCTATTGTATAGGATTTAACATATACAGAACAAGTACAAGTACAAGATACACAGAACACATAAAAAGTCACTGGCACATAAAACAAATATCAAATTTCAAAGAATTGGTATCATGCAAACCATGCAACCTGACCTCAATGCAATTAAGCTAGAAAGCGTCATTTAAAACTAGGGGGGGAAAAGTCTCATGTTTGGAATTAAGGAGAAAATTTAAAAAAAATAATAATATAGTTTAAAATATATTAGATAAATTTAAATAAAAATGGCATTAGGGGTACTCTATACGTTAAAAAAAATCTTCATAACCACAAGCAGTTCACTAGTAGATATAAACAATATTGGGCAGATAAGTTTTGAAATGTACATGGTGTTGAAAGTCATTAAACTGTATGCTTTAAATATGCACGTTTTGGGGCTGGGGTTGTGGCTCAGTGGTAAAGTGCTTGCCTCATTAAAACTAAAAACTAAATATTAAAAAATAAATAAATAAATAAATATTATTATCTGATAAAGGTGTTCAGCCATTTAGTACATTTCGAGGCCCATTCTAAGGTATGTCAGATACTGATATTCCTTAGGCAGTAGGTGTAATCACATTTTGGTTTCTGCAAAATTAGAATAGATTAATGTCACAGTTTTAGCTGTGACAACTTCATTATTTTTCTGAAATTAAATAATCTTTCCAAAATGAACATAAAATAGAAAAATTCTTAAGAAATGAAAAACCAATTAAACTAATAGTTTAAAATTGTCACTAAGAATATCTCAAGGTCTGATGGTCTTAACAATGAATTGTAGCAAATATCCAGGGAGAAAATAATCTCAGTCTTACACCAATTTATTAAGATGAAAAAAAATGAAAAATAATTTCCAATTCATTTTATAAGGCAAACATAACTATAATACTAAAACTGCAAAATTACAAGTCAATTTCACTGAAAAAAAAAGATACAAAAATCCTAAACTGAACATCAGCCACCTGAAAGTTAAGTTTGATTTTATGTTAAAAAAAAAATCAATTGTATACTATAGTAATATTATGGAATTAAAATCATTGTCATCTCAAAAGGTAGATGAAAAAACTGCTAAAATTCAACATGATAAAAACTCTAACTAATTAGATATAATTAGATATACCTTCTTACCCTGATTTAAAAGTATCTGTCAAACACCTAACATGAAATTTAGGAACCCTTTAAGATAAGGAACAAAAAACAAAATTGGTCGTCAAATCCTAGCCAAAGAAGTAAGGTAAGAAGGTTTTACTAATAGACAAAAGAGTTAATAAGAAACAAACTGCCATTATCTATAGATGATACGATTATGTTGTTGAAAACCTAAATGTATGTTCAGAAAAGTATGAATAGGAACTTTCTAGGTTGCTTAAAATGTATATATAAAAACCAACATACCAACAATGACAAATAAAAATTCTTAAGAGATGTCATTGATATAGTTTCAAAATATAAATAAGTATGACATAAATTATGCAAGATCTCCATGGAGAAAACAATAAAATCTTGATGAAAGACATTAAAGTTGAAATTACACCACATTAATGGACTAGAAAACTCAATACAGTAAGAATGCTGATTCTTACCAAACTAGATTAAAAAACAACAACAACAACAAAAACTCCTCCCTAAAAAAGACCAATTAAATTTTTGTTAAACTTGAAAAGCAAATCTAAAATATATATGAAAGAGTAAAAGTCTATTCTTGAATAATGACAAGGTAGAAGCTGCCTTATCAGATAACAAAATGTAGTTAAAAACTACATTAAGACAATGTGGCACTGGCCCAAGGATATACAAATAAAGCAAAGAAATAGAATTAAGTGCCCAGAAACACACTAAGGAATGGATGGATAGTGTTGATATATGACAGAGATAGGAATGAAAATTGGTAGGGAAAGGACAGTCTTTTCAATATTGCTGGGATAGCTAATTTTCACATGGAGAAAAATTGAATTTGGATGGCAATCTCATAATGAACACAAAAATCAATTTTTGGTAAACCTAAAGATGAAAGGCAAAAACATAAACCTTTAGAAGATGATGTAGGAAAATAAATAAAGATTTAAACCATTAAGAAATCTGAGGGGCTGGGGTTGTAGCTGAGTGGCAAAAAGCTTGCCTGGCATGTATGAGGCACTGGGTTCGATTCTCAGCACCACATATAAATAAATAAAAGTCCATCAACAACTAAAAATTTTAAAAATATATAGTAAAAAAAAGAAGTCTGAGAAATTCATCTACATTAAAATTTCTTTTTGAGACACCAGAGACTGGGGTGGGGGACCAAGGTAAAACTGAGAAGGAACTGGCATTTAAAATATAAAAAGAATGGGCTGCAGCTGTGGTTTAATGGTGGAGGGTTTGCCTAGCATTTGTGAGGCACTGTTTTTGACTCTCAGCACCACATATAAATAAAGATCCGCTTTTGATAACTAAAAAATATTTAAAATACATATGTATACACATATACATGTATGTACACACTCACACAGAGCTGGGGATATAACTCAGTGGTAGAGCAATTGCCTAGCATGTGTGAAGTTCTGGGTTCAATCCCCAGTACCACAAAAAAATTGAAACACACTTCCCAAAAAAGGAATAGTCAAATATTTGGAAAAAAATGCTCAATCACACTAGCAATGAGGCAAATAAAATAACAATTCAAACAAGAAATGTCTTTGAAAGCATCAACTATTGGAAATTCCTAACCACAGCTGACCAGGGTACAAATAGGTACAACTTTTCAGAAAACCACTTTGGTTTACTAGTGCAGTTGAGCACTGTCATGCCCTACAACTCAACATCTTCAATTCTGGGCATCCTAAGCATTGAGTCTCACCTCTTGTGATTTTGCCCAGCATGGCACATCTGGCAATACGAGGAAACATTTCTGTTTTTCACAACTGGGAGGCCTATTGGCATTTAATGGGTTACGAGGCCAGGGATGTAGCTAAATACCTTGCAAAGGACAGCATAGCAACCCACAGCTATATATTATTTGGCCCCAAATGTGAATAGTCCTGAGGTTGAGACCCTACCTTAGAGAAACAAACTTATTACAACTGATGTACCATTATAATTGGTTCTATTTCATTTCCCTGCCAACCAGGTTCCCTTTGGTCTGTTCTTTACAATTAAATTCAAGTTGTTTTCCTGAAAAGTATTAAAATTACTCATGTCAACTCTTGGCCTAAAGACCTCTGTCAGCATTACACTGCCTTTGGCGGTCACTTTCAGCTTTTAATGGCCTAACAATCACCTAGGAGACAAAATTCAGATGGCCTGGCGCCATCCTCAGAAAGTCTGATTAAGTCTGAGGGGGACCCAAAATTCATTTTTTACTAGTCAACACAAGTGATCCTAATGCAGGTTACTCAGGGATCAATTGTTATCAATGATCTATAGGAACCTATTTAAACAGGTAAAACAATGCTTTACAGAGGCCTTCAGGAATAACTCCCACCATTCTCTGTTGGTCTCACTTTCTTCATGGCCATACATCTCACTCTCACATTCAGTGTTACCAGAACTTTTGTGTACTTTTATTTACTCTACTAACCCTTTAAGGACCTGTTATCTCTTTGTGGAATGTTATCTCCAACTTCTTTTCTAGCACTAATTCATCCCTTAAGACCAGTTCAAACTACAGATAGGTTGAAAAATAATCTAAAACCTAAATGTTATTATAATTATGTTCTTTTATCATTATATAATCATATATTATGCAATCATATATCATATACAAAAATTAAGTTTTTATAGGTGTTCCACACTTGGGACAATGGGACAAAATGGGTAAATAATCTAGGTGGCTTCCACAACACTCTCATAAATCCTTTAATTACTTCATTTATTTTAATTTTTTAATATTTATTTTTTAGTTGTAGTTGTCAATACCTTTATTTTTTTACTTATTTTTTTATGTGGTGCTGAGGATCAAACCCAGGGCCTCTCACTCACTAGGCAAGCGCTCTACTACTGAGCCACAACCCTAGCCCTACTTCACTATAATTATCTACTTACATGTCTACCTTACCTACAAGACACTTCTTTATCCTTGCACTCAATATGTTCTTGATAAATGTATAATTAATCAAAAAATAGATGAGAAGACATTTAGCAGTATAAAAACATAATTCATCAACTGTTACTGCATGCTCCTGTTTTAAAAGCGCCAAACCCATGATTCTATACAACTTTTTAATCTGAAGATACAGATTTTATCCCCTACAGCCAAAATAGGGAGGGAAGCTTTAACATTTAAGAACATTTCCATTAATCATGAACTCTATAAAAGAATTTCTGCAATAACCTTTCATGTTGACTGCTATTTTAAAATGCATAGTAGGTACTTCAATTAGCCACATTACCATGTTTACCTTACTTTACAGGTGACATGTACTTGTAAAGGTAATTCACAACTCACAAAACCACTGGAAACCAAAATTCTAACCTCTTACTTCACTAGTTAGTCAATGCCTTCAATTCTTCAATTTGAATCAAAATTCAGTCTCTCAGTTTTATGTCTGAAGAATGTGGAGAACCCCCCCCCAACTAGAATATATGTGAAGTACAATTCCTGTCATGTTTTATAATCCCCATTACAAATATAGTTTGAGACAAGTCTCAAATCTAAAACTACATTTTCTTTCAGATTTCAAAATTTTCTTTTTATCATAAAATATCTTAGGAATCAAATATGACATAATTTCCTAGATGCTGGGTTTGGTAGTTACTCAAGAGACAACATTGCAAAGTCCCTCTTTATAGGGAATATTGACTACCAACATTAAATGTTGCTTCCTTTGTCTATACCACACATGGGCAGAGAGCCTGCTCTTACAGAGTGGGGGCAGACTGTAGAAGAGCAGGTGAGAAATACTATGACAACATCTTAAGCTTTAATGACATATTCAATTTGCTTAATTCTGAAAGAATGGAGGACTGATGAACTACCATGGCTTTGGCTCCCAGGAATTTCTTCAGAGGTTTTGACAGTTGTTACACCTGTGTTCACAGAACTGGCACTTGAAGTCCGAGACCTTGATAAGACAGGTGCCTTGCTCTTTTCTTTCTTGATTTCCACTCTCCCAGTAGGCTCCTTCTGTGAACTATTTAGAAAATCAAATAAGAGCTCATCATCAGGTTCTGACTTTTTCCTTCGAACAAACTGGGATGAAGGCCTAGGAATAGATGCATTTTCAACAGGTTGAGAGGCCTCCCCAGATGTCCTGGATCCTACTTTCACATTTGCAGTGCCAGCTAAAATGGTGGCTTTTTGATTTCGAATGTTATCAGCTACTGAGGAAATATAAGTAGCTTTAGGTTCAGTCTCATAAGTCAAATCTGTGTTTTGCTGATGAAGTTCCGGATAGTCACTATTCTTGCTGTATATGTTGCTGCTGGTGTTCTCCTTCCTATTGAGAGCTGTTGCAGCTCCTTGATCAACTCGGTTTAAAAGATCTTCAGCCTTTCCGGCAAGATCAACAAACCAAGACATGATGGTAGCAGAATAATCCTATTGGTGAACCTGAAAAAAGGACATGAAATGATTAGTATGGCATAAAAGCAGAAAGTAATGGCTGAGACTGGGTTCTGAGTCAGACAGTCCTGGATTGAAATCCTAACCCTACTTCTTACTAGCTAGGTAAGCAGGAGCAAACTAACTAAAGCTGAGAAACCTTATATAGAAAATGGTGAAAACAAGTGCACTTACTGTATAAAATATAGAGGAAATTTGGACACAAACAGAAATAAAGAAGACCAAGTGAAGAAAGAAGCCACCAGCAAGCCAGAGAGAAGTCCCAAAAGAAACCAACCCTGACAATACCTTGATGTTGGATTTCAAAATTGTGAGAAAATAAATTTCTATTGTCCAAGCCACCCATTCTCTTGGTACTTCGTTACAGCAGTCAGTCCTAGCAAATTAATTTGGCATCCAAATAGCAAATGACACATATGGCCAAATTCCAGCCAAATCAAATAAAAATAATATCTGAAGTTTGTTTTAAAGTGCTAAAACTTAGGTGTAGTGGCACACACCTGTAATCCCAGCGACTCAAGAGACTAAAGCAAGAAGTGAGCAAATTTGAGGCCAGCCTCAGGTCCTCAGCAATTTAATTTCTAAGTTTTATGAGACAGTTCAGTTTTATGAAATAGTTCTAATAAAAACAAAACACCACTGGGATGGAGCTCAGTAGTAAAATACCCCTGCATTTAATTCCAAGTTTAGCGGGGAGAGGGTGGTGCTAAAACTTGAAAAAACTACCTCTGATTAATACAAAAGTTATCAATGTTAAACTGAAGCACTATTTTGGATAATTCAGGTGTATACATATATAATATGTCTAAAGTACACTTTTGATAACTCAAAAACTGAGTACCTACCGTGGGCACATTAAGTTCAGAATATGCTTACATCTTATATCCATTCCACACATAGATTTGAGTACTTACAGTATGCTACAGTAGATCAAGGTGATGATGAAGTCATTAACCCTTATGGAATAGAACAAAGAGGACTGGAAAAAAGTCTACAACCAGTTCTTGAATGTGGGGATCAAACCTTTTGCCTGGACTCTTACAGTTAACTCTTTCTTACTCTTTGTTCACTTGAATGTTCTCTGCTTCAGAGTTCTCCTTTCCATCTCAATTAGGTCCTATTATTCTCTGTTCACCCTTTGTTTTGCCTCACAGCCCTTCATGCTTTATAATTTTTGGTTGTTTTTTCACATGTCTCTCCCTGTCTGGGAAGAGGGGAGTGGCTGGATAAACACCAAGTCTATTTTGCTCACCAATGACTTTCCAGCATGTAGCCACAGGGTACTGAACAAAATTCATAAAGTGCCAGATGCTGTGTAACATATTTAATTTTCACAACCATAATGTTATATACATATATATACACACACACTTTAAAATGTAGCAAAGGTTTAGAGTTTTGATGGCATCCAAAGTACTGAAAGCTAAGTCAACCTAGAGCCATGCCCACTTTTAACCCTTTCCTTCCCATATCAGCCTCTCAAAATCTAAATAAATCTCAGGAAACAAACTTACTCCTTTAAAGTTTTCTTTATAAAATGTGACTATTAGTGACTCTTTCAGAGTTTATGTAAAACCAAGTGAAAACGAAGGCGAAATACTTTGTGACACATAAAGCTCCAAAGAGGAGTCAGGGATCAATCTCAGGTAAACATTGGTGGTGACTGGGGCCAATGACCACTCCTAGTGCAACAGCCAAAACACTAATTCCTTCTATCTGCCTCCATTTTCGTGAACAGGGCTTTAAAACACCAGCCTGTGTCTCACCGTTGGCCACCTAAATGAAAGAACAGAAGATGGCCCCGGGCACTGGCCCGAGTGACAAACACGGCCCGAGGCCTTCGCGGGTACAAAGCCTTCGGTAACCTGGCGCTGCAGGGACGCCGAGAGCCGGGCTGGGGAAGGGTCTGCACCCTGGACCGCTGGGCCCACGTCGAAGGCAGGTGTCATCGAGGAGGGGAGGGGAGGCCAGGCCCGGGGAGCCTGTCAGCCGGCCGATCCCGGGCGGGCGGGCGGGCGAGGACGGACCTCCATGGCGCTCGCCACCTCGCCCCTGCCTCGGGAGCGGGCAGCGCGGCCAGCCCACCCGGGAGCGCAGCAAACCACGCTGGCTGCAGCGCAGGGGACTCCGCTGCCTCGTCGCTGTCCCAATCCCGGCAAAGACCAGCGCGGTCCGAAGGAGCCGGAGGGACAGGACCCGGCTGAGGCCGGCGCCGCGCTCCTGGGACCGTCAATGCTCCGAGCAGACCCGTCGCGTCCGCTGGCCCTTGCCTTCGCCTCACCTGAGGACTCCGGAGCGGCGGCACCGCGGCCTCGTCGCCCTCCCCGGCCGGGCCTCCTCAGCAGCCGGCACGGAGAGAGCCCAGGATCAGCAAACCTCCTCCCGGACCTGCCGTGGCCCGGCTACCTCTTCCGGGAGACGTGGAAGGACGGCGAGGACCCCAAAACAGAGTGACTTTCAAGCTGCCTGAGCGACGGGGAGCAGAGGGCCGCTAGCACCTGCAGGCTACTCAGGCGGCGGCGCCGGCGGCTGTGGGGGCCTTGCGCCTGGACACGCCCCTCTTCCGCCCACGGGGAGATCGGGCGAGAGTAGGGCCGGCGTGCGTGTGACGTAGCCCGCTTCCAGCGGACGGCGCGTGCACGCGGCCAGCACAACATCGGAGACCACGCCCCCGAGAGGGCGTGGTCTAGGGGCGGGCCACGTTGGCGGCAGCAGCGGATCCTTAGTGGATCTTCCAGGCTTCACCTTCCCACCTTCTCCCTTCTGGTCCCTAGTTTTGCTCATGCAGTTGTTGAGGCTCACAGCGGAGAGTGGGAATGCCCAAAACTTGATCCCTGATTTCATAGCGCTTACTTTTAAGTGACAGATATATATACATTATGTAAGCTGATGAATAAACTTGACAATTTCTGAATCTTACTAGAGCAGTTAAAAACAGGAAGTGACTGGAGGCAGGGAAGTGCTTTAACTCAGGTGGTCAGCGAAGTTCTTCCTATAGAGGAGGCAGCAGAGGTGAGCTATAAAGGGTTGAAAAGACCAGGAAAGGAATTCCCAGACACCACTATTGTAGTGTATTCTGCACACAGTTCAGAGAATCTATGCAATTAATCTAAATTCCACGCTCATCAATTCACCAAATACTCAGTTCCTATTGTGTAAACAGGTTTAGGTTAATTTGATCCTAAATACAAGACTAAAATGTAGTTCTAGGTATCCCAAAACTACTACGTTAAATAGTTTGTCCAAGATCATCTGCTGTAATAAAGACATCCACCTTCTTCCAAAACCTGTGCACTTTAGACTCAATACTTTATTGTCTCCAAACTAAAATGAGGAAACTCCTTTTCTTTCTCTCAGGGCAAGTTTAGCCCTGTCCAGTAAAAAGAATAACAATTATAATAATGACATTGAATATTTATATTTAGACCTTATTAACTGTAGAACGCTCTGTTAAGCTTTGGATGTGCTTTGCTTCACTGAATTCCCACAACCTTAAGGAAGGTACTGACTATCCTGTAGTAAGTGATGATGTTGTTCTCAACTATTAGGTTGTTCTTCCTGTTAAGGATTATACATTATCACTGGTTGCCTGACAGCTCCGCATCCTGGATGATGTGTGTCCTTTCCAGCTTGACTGTATGACCCACTTTGACCAATGAATGTGAGCGGAAGTGTCTTGCCACATCTAAGCAGAATTATTAAGAGTCATGATATATTTTCACCAGCAGTCTTTTTTTGGGGTGGGTACTGGGGATTGAACTCGGGGACTTGGCTACTGAGCCATATCCTCAGCCCTGTTTTATATTTTATTTAGAGACCGGGTCTCACTGAGTTGCTTTGTGCCTTGCTTTTGCTGAGGTTGGCTTTGAACTCGTGGTCCTCCTGCCTCAGCCTCCTGAGCTGCTGCTATTACAGGTGTGCACAGCTGCATTTGGCTCTACCAGCAATCTTGGTCTTTTCCCTCTCTCTTAAGGATATGTATCCCAGATGGGGCTGTTTCCTCAGCCTGGGTCCTAAAAAGGAAGAGAGAAATGAAGTAGCCCACATCTAGAATGTCACATCAGTGAGAAATAAATTACTGTTAGGAGCCAGAATTTAAGATTTATTCTTACACAGCCTTATCTGATGAAATCTAATGCATTCTGACAGTTTATAGATGAAGAGAATCCAGTGAGTTTTAGATACTTGTTCATAGTCACATAGGGAGTAAGTTCAACGTTGGGATTCAAACCTAGATCAGAGTGACTCCAGAAATTCTGTTCTCAGCCACTGAAAGGCTGAGAATGAAAGGAGCTGAGGCAGGGCCAGCTGTTCCACATCAAAAACATCGGCAGTGGTCAGGCTTCAAAAGGGAGGATTGAAGAATTCCCACATACACCCCCCTAGAGAATCATTATAGACACCTGCCTGCCCAGAAGCCATCAGGGCAGGATTAGCTAGAGAAATGGCACAACCAGTGGAGAGAAGAAAATCTGCCACTTTTTCCCCCCTTCCCTGCCCCAGTGCCACCAGTGGCACTAATTCCTGAAAAAGGAAAGGGAACAAGGAACCTCCTAGAGCAGCCAAGCTCCTCTGCTCCAGGGGGAGGGAGGGGAAGAAATCTGAATAGAGCTTAAGGATACATTTTTAAACTAATGAGCTGTACCATGACTTTTGCAATGGCAGAGTGGGGAGCTTGGCAAATCCTTTCCCCCGAAAATAATGACAACATCCAACAAAATTATGAAAACCAACCATTTCAGCTCCCTGGAAATTGACCACAGGCCTAATCCCCAAGTCAAGCAGCAGTTATTTAGGAAAAACTATTAAACCTTGCGTAACAATGAGAGTCTGGGACATTTAGCCTGGGATCCCTCTCCCCCAGCTCCAAGAGAGTAGGTCAATGGTCAGGGCTAGTTTAGCTGCAAAGCCCAGCAGCTCTGCTGCTGGAGGAGCTGATTTGACTAAGAGTGGAGCCAGGAAAGCCCTGTGGCCCAGGGGAAGGCTCAGTTGGGAAGGGGACACCACTTTGCCTGGGTTGCAATCTTGGTGGATAAACAACTGAATGCCTGCAGGGAGCTTAACAGGGAGAGCCAGGCAGAGATGGCACAGTGGGTTTGTGTAAGCTGCCTCGTGCACTGTTCTAGAAGATTCTGCAAGTTCAGCAGAGCCTGGCAGAAGCCCTAGCTGCCTCCTCATTCCTGACTGAACTTAAAGCCTTACACAGGTGCGGAGGAGACACAAGAAAGCCAGGAAATTAAAAACCAGGGGAGTGTCGTAAATTGTCTGGTTTTGATGTATTCCCAACATGTTTTTGTTGTTTTGTTTTTCTGCTGGGAATGAAAACCAGGGCCTCAGGCGTTCTACCACCAGGCTACACCGGATTCCCCCTAGTCCATCTGGAAGAGGGGAATGTCTTGAAGTGTGTTCAACTTTCGTAGCCATCAGAGAAATGCAAATGAAAATCTCTGTGTAACACCTTTTGGCATCCAAGCACAGTAGCTAAGATGTAAAAAGATGGAAAATACCACGTAATGATGGGGATGTGGAGCCCCTGGAACGCTATGCATTTTTGAGAGGCTAGTGATAGGACCATTTGGAAACCTTAGGCTCTATCTGCTAAAGTTAAACCTGGGCCTACTCTGACCAGTGTGCCCGCCCCCCCTGCCACCTGAGTCAGCAGTTCAGTTCAGCTGCTTCCTCAAATCCCCGAAACCCTTCATTTAGGCGGTCTGCCCAGCTGCCGGAGGTATCCTCTGGGGATTTTGTGACTCTCACTGAAAGATTCCTCCATCCATTTGGTTCCTCAGTTCTGTAATTCTACTTCCTTATTGCACAGATCTCAAGAATGAAATTATGAACCTCTTTGTTCATTTTTACCTTTCGGCAGCAGAGGGCGCTCAGGACTTAAAAGTCTGTATGAACTGGTGTATGTTCTACCTGGGTGGACAGGTAACATGAGGATTGCTGTTTCCTTTTGTTTATGGAGCACAGGGCACAATGTCTCCGTGAACCCCCTGGATGTTCCAAGGGGATTTTATATTCCCTTGCCGTAGGAGAAGAGAGATCTCCAGAAGAGGATCCCGAGGGGTTGCCAGAGAGAGGGGAACTCAACTCAGGATGAGTGGGGTCCCTGACATCATGACCGAAAAGAATTTTAATACATGTCAGTAGAGGCTCAGAAATTTATTTAGGAAAACAAGGGATAAAACAAGTGCTATCCTGAGAGCGGAGAGACGTGTTTTGGGGGTTCCCAGCTGTTTTAGAGGAAACTTGGTGAGGGGGTAGGTATGGGAAGGTACATAGGGTAGGCATGACATCAGTCTGGTAATTCCAAGATTTATGGTGATCTGGTCCTTCTTAGGATCTTTAGACTGACTTGGTTTCCATTATCTGATTCATAGAGAATTCTGGAAAGTCTCCTTAATTTATCTTTCTTTACTTAATCTAGTGATCTGATTAACACTACATAGGTAATTATGATAATTGGGTGAATTTAGGGTGACTTTAAGATTTACAGATTTCCCAGGAATTTAGAAGTGACAAGCCTGTGAAAGAGACTGGCTTGGGGGGGGGGGTGTGACAAGAAAAGTATGCAGAACTTCTGAACTAAAGTTCTAATTCCTTGTCCTCCTATGGCTCCTTTCTCCCCATTTCTTCTTTCTTTCATCCTGCTTCGCTCTTCCCTGTTTGAAATTTCCTCCAGATGTGGCCACTGGTGTTTTTCATGTTACCTCGGGGGCTAAACTGCTCCCAGAGATGAACCCCTCAACCATGGAGCCCCTCACCAAAACTCCTAGGGCTCCAAGGCTATAGTTTGCCCACTTTCTCCTCCCCCTCCCCTCCCCTCCCCTCCTCTCCCATTTCCTCCTCTCCTTTCCCCTCCTCTCCCCTCCCCCTCTCCTCTCCTCCCCTCTCCTTTTCTCTTGTCTTTCCTCCTCCTCCTCCTTCTCCTACTCCTCTTCCTACTCCTCTATCCATCTTCTTTTTGTGTGTGCTGGGAATCAAACCACGCCTTGCATACGCTAGGCAAGTGCTCTGTCACTGAGCTATGTCTCTAATCCCAGCTGGGGTTTGAATGTATCGTTTGGGGTTTGTTTATTGGAAATTGAATCCCCAATGCAACATGTTTAGAGGTAGGGCCTTTAAGAGGTGATGACATCATGAGGGCAGAGCTCATGGACTGATATCATAAGTATGTGATCACAGGTGTGGTTAGTTATAAAAAGATGGGCTGGGCCCCTTTCTCTCTGGCATGCACACCCTCCTTCCCTTCTGTCCCCTGCCTTGGGATGATGTAGTAAGAAGGCCCTTGCTAGGAGGCAATTCCACCTTTAGAAAATTACCCTACAGATATATTGACACACATGCAAATGATATATAGAGTTATTAGATGATGGCTTATAGTAGCAAATATTGCAAACATGTGATGTTCACTGAATTAAAAATT